TAAATTTTTTATTTAAAAAAATAATTTAAAATTTTAGATTGTAAGTTATTTTTATTGATTATCAGTATTTAATTATATTTTTATTTGTATTAAGATTATTATATAATATTTATTAAATTTAGTAAGTATTATTTTTTATTATTTAAGTTATAAGTATAATACTAACAATATAAATTAATTTTATAGAAAATAGAAATATGTTCAAATTGTAATAAAAAATATACAGGATATAAATGGTGTAAAGAATGTAATTCTAAAATTCTTGAACAAAATTTTTCTAATTGGACTAGTAAAAATAAATTTATTAATCAATTTATTCAAGATATTCAACTTAATGCTAAAAATAAAAAGCAAGTATTAGAATGGATTCCTTATAATAAATTAGAAAATATTGAGTATCTTGATAAAGGAGGATTTAGCATTATATATAAAGCTGATTGGTTAGATGGATTTATTATATCTTATTCATATAATAACAAAAATTGGAATAGAAGTAATAAAATAAAAGTATCTCTTAAAAGTTTTGATAAATCATTAAATTTAAATGAAGAATTTTTAAAAGAGGTATGAATAAAAATAATAGTTTTTTTTTTAATTTTATTTAATTAATTTTTAAATTAATTTTAATATTTTAGTGGAAACATCATTATATGTGTTATAGTCAATTAAAATACTATTCAGAAGAAAATCTTATTCAATTATATGGATTTACCCAAGATCCTAATACTTCAAATTATATGATAGTTATGAAATATGCAGAAAATAGTAATTTAAAAAAAAATTTATTAATAATTGTTAAGAACAAATGGATAATTAAATTGATTCAATTATATTATATTATTATTGGACTTAATAAAATACATCAAAATAATTTTATTTATTGTGATTTTCATTATGGTAATATTTTAAATATTAGAAAATCTATATTATCGATTAGTGATTTAGGATTATGTAAACCTGTAGAATATTTTCAATCATCAAAAAATAATGATATTTATGGTGTTTTACCATTTGTAGCACCTGAAGTTTTAAGAGGTCAACCTTATTCTTTTGCTAGCGATATATATAGTTTTTCAATGATAATGTGGGAATTTATATCTGGAGTTTCTCCATTTTATAATGAAGCTTATGATTTTCAATTAGCTTTAAATATTTGTAAAGACAAGCGTCCTGAAATTATTAAAGATATTCTACAATGTTATATAGATTTAATGAAAAGATGTTGGAATATTAATCCATTAAAAAGACCAAATGCATTAGAAATTAAGAATATTATTTTAAATTGGTGGAAAAATATTCAAATTAAAAATTTAAATAAAAATTTTTTAGATAATATTATAATGTTTTATAAAGCAGATAAAATATTAAATCAAAAGCAAAATAATATAAATGATAAAATTATTGAAGAGGCTCAAGTGCAAGCATGTTATACAAGTCGTTTACTTAATTTTACTGAAAAGTTAAATAAAGTTTTAGATCTTGAAATAGAAAATTCGGATATTAGTCAGAGTATTAGTAATTATTGTAATATTTTTAATTTATAAAATAAATGAAATTTATTAATAATTTCAATTTATTTATATTTTAATTTAATAGAAGCTTTAAATATTACAAATGATGAATAAAGTAAGTAATTTATTTAATTATAATTGTATATTTATATAATGTATTAATTTATTTAATATTTGTAAGCAAATTATAATTAATTATATTAATTATATTTATTTATAAAATCAGTTTATTTTATTTTATAGTTTAATTATATATTTTTTAATAAAGTATTTATTTAGTAACACTGTATATAAAGTAATTATTAAGCAGTTTGTAATTACATAAATAAATTTTAATATATAAATTAAATTATAATAAATAAATTTATAATTATACAACCAAATTCTATAAACATATTTTTCAAATAACAGTATATATAATTTTTTTAAATATAAAGCTTTTTATATGAATATTTTTTCAAATTTTCTTTATAATTCTCATAAATTATGCTAACATTATAATTATTTAGATTGTAGTATCTTTTATTATTGTGACTTATATAAATAATTTAATTACAAACATTGTTGTATTCATTTTGCTATATAAAAACAGATAACCTTGCTTATGATAATTTAAGATATGCTTAGACGAACTTTACAAATCAATAAACTTGTTATCAATTATATAATTAATATACTTGGATGTAATTTTGTCTAATTTTACAATATTTTGGAAAAGTGTTTCCATATTTTTTAGTTGCTAAATAATGCTGATTTTCCTAGAATTGCTTTATAAATTGTATGTCCTTGTTTCCTATCAAAGATTTCCAGTTATATGCTATGCTTGCAATTTTGCAAATGCACTATCAATTAAAAAATTATCAATACATTATTACATCAAAGAATATTAAAGTATGTGATTACAATATAAAATTTATGGACTGAAATTTAAATATGATTTAATTGATTATATGACTGCAAACATTTTCAGCTGCGAATTCTAGTTGGAAAGATATTTTTACTCATCAAATAATACGGTCTTGGTAATATTAATTAACTTGCCAACATTTTAAAACTTAATATTAACAAACGCAATATTTGAATACAATTCCTTATTGTATAACATAAAAATCGGTTATACAAAGTTTAAAAATTTTTTAATATTCAAAATACTTTAGTACATTTTGTAATGTTTCGTAAATTTTCAAATTACACAACAATTCAGATGAGACATAGATTTTATTATCGTAAGTTTTATTATTCTGTGATACTTTAATAATGTTTCACTCGATGCTCTTTATTTAGTATAAAGCATAGGCTCGATAAATAACTTTATTATTTATGCATTTGAGCCAAGGCACATGTATTTTTTTAAAAATGAATCTTGAAATTAATTTCCTTTGTCAATTTGAGTTTTTTTATTATATTTAGGTCACGAGTTAAATAAACGTGAAAAATTGTTTTTTCTTTTTTAGCTCTTAAAAAATTTTTTATTCTTTTGCTAATCAGATTTGAAATCGTAATACACTTATTTCAAGTTAACTTTTTCCTGATTTCGCATGCCTGGATAAAAACCTTTTTTTTTATTTTTTTTTTAAATCACGATCAAATGCGTGTGATAATATTAAGTCTATCATATTTATCCATACCATTCTTACTTAAAAAAAAAAAAGAACCATATACTATACAGGTTTGTGTAATACCATGTCAAGGCAACCAGATTTACGAATCTGTACCTAATTAAAATTCTTGTTTTGGATTTTGATTCAACCCATTTAAGTTAAAGATCACATAAGTCTATAAATTTAAAAAAATTTTTTTCTTGATTAAAAATCATTGAATGCTCACTTTCGTAAGTATAGTTTTGGAATTATCCATAATGAAGAATTAGTTCAGCTTATTTTAAGTTAGTAAACACGTTGATAAAACCTAAAGGTTATCGTGAATTATTTTCATTGTTGTATGCAGTAACATTACATTGATGTTTTCGATGAACACAATACACGAAAGGATTTCCAGACTGGTTATCATTCGTTTGTTCGCAAAATATGACAAATTTAGATGCATAAACGCTAAAAAGAGGTAAACCAAATTGTACATCAACAACAGATTCAGTGATAAATGTACCTCCGGAATATAATACCAATAAAACAACAAATGAGTTAGCAGCTGGCGATTGCACCTTGCAATCAGACGTTTGGCCTTGTTTTGTCTTAACGCGGGAAACATTCGATTCGTTTCTGGTGAAGTTGATCAATTTATTTTAATAGATTATGAGGATGAAGAACCTATTATTTTTCCTAACGGTTTATTATTTGGTATATTTGATGAAGAAAGAATTCGCTCGAGTCGACAGACGAAAGATTCAGTTAAATAGCTAAAGAAACCTGTAATTATATTTAGAATAATTTGATAATTTATCAAACCTTGTTATATTAGCGTTTAACTGCTAAAACTAGTTACTTATTAATTTAGTTCTGTCTTAGTAAAATAAAAAAAAAAACTTACCAGTCCGCAAAATTTATATGGTAAAAAGATGTGATTTTTTAATAAATAAAAATTTATTATTCTGATCATTGCAAAATAAATAATTATGTACGGCCAACGAGTATCTTAATATTACGGACCGAAATGGAGAAAATTCTCTGAAAATTTATGTAAATATATTTTTTTAAATCCGAATTAATACAAATATAGCTATATTTATTTTTATTTTTTATATTTATCTTGCTTTTATTTTTTTTATTTGTTTCGATTAGGGATTGGAATCGATTTAATCGAATCTCCAAATTTTTTTTCATGGACGTTCAACCTGGCTTCATACCAGTTTCTAATTTTAGCAAAAATGATCAACACTTAGGCAGCATTGAAAAATACTTTAGATCGATTAATATGTAAAAAATAAAAAAGATTGTGAAGATCAGATATGAAACTGGTTTCTTAGTAAAAAAATTTTTATTCAATTTTGCTCGATGTCATCACACTTCGTCCCACTAAAGCTTAACGAGCCTCTCTAAGACTGAAACTTTTAAAAGATAATATTTTTCTTTCAGTCTTTGCTTCACGTAAAAAAAATTGCCTCCTCGCAAATTTAAAATTTAGAATTTAAGACCTTTGTAGGATTTTTTTATTTTTTTATTTTTTTAAAAAAAAGCGTTTACGTTCATCTGAATAATAATAGAAAAGTTTGTTTTCTTGTCATCGTTCGATTTATCTAAACATTCTCTTCCTTCTCTTGGATCAGGAACTGGTCTGTTCAAAAATAAACATATATGGGAGGTTTCTAGGAAAATGGTGTTTTGAGAATTTTTTGACTAAAATTTCATTCTTATTGCTTATTAATCCAATATCATCAATGCAATAAAAATCAAAATTTTATTAAAAATTCTCAGAACACAATTTTTTCTAGAAATCTTCCCATATATTATTAAAAGGATCTACTAATGAATGGTGGATATAAAACAAATTGCATATAAAAGATTTAAAATTGATTTTATTTAAGTAATTGAAGTTTTGTGTAAAAAAAATTTCATTACACGATTATATAGGATACAATTAATATTGTAACTTGCAAACGAAAATTATTTTATTACGAAAAAAAACCAGCTTAAATTGAAAAAGTAGTTTTTTCTTATGTGTTTAATCAAGCAATATTTTAACGGAAAATTATATATTATCTAGAAATAGATTAAGATCGGTTAAAGATATAAGGTTTATTACTGAAGATCAAGTCTTATCATAGATGAATAACAGAGGAAACTTAATTTTTATAATCATTCCATGTTAAGATTTTTCAAGTTGTTGTAGCCCAAACGTCACCATGTCCCAAGTTAAACTTGGGATATCCCAAATCGGAATTCCTATTTCGGACTT